GTGGGGGTCTCGGCCATGATATCATATCTATGCCATATTTTGCACTAACCCCAGTGAGTCAGCACAGCCCACCCAGCGAGGATGTGTGGTCACACCTCGGACTCGGAGGACACTTCCCTCTCAAAATAGCACATTTGTAATGTCATGCAGGCGAGGCTGCGACCACGGTGCCGACTGACCTGCACATTTTTATTGCCCGACAACATGGCTGACCTTTGAGCCTCAACGGGCCGATGTTGCGGATCACAGAAGAATACACACACGCACACACACACACACACACAAAAGACTCCACCGTGGTACACATGTGAACCAAAGCCTGTTACATGAGCATTACACGCAGAGAGAAGAAACAAGCCTACAAATCCCACCACGTACTCAAACGCCACTTCAACAGCCGCCGTGCCCTTCATGTCGGCGAAGAACAAAAACGCCACAATGGCTTCAATCAGCCCCGACCAAAACGCAGAGTTCATTCTCCACCAGAGGCATTTTTATCTTTAATTAGAGGAGCGAGCAGCTGTCTACAACCCAATCCTGCACACCACCATGATGGCAGGCCTGCACACAAACACTGACTTCAGATCCACTCATATTGTTTCCACTTCAGATTCCTCCATTTTCCTTCAGGTTCATACGCTGTGTTCATTTATAGCCAGGCTTAGAGTTGGTTGCTGATTATCATGAAGAACTAGTTCCTTTTAGAAAATACACTGATCAGAATTGCCTTATATTTACAATTCTGCTGTGATTAAGATCCTAAAAGATCAAACACATTCAGGATTTAAACCCAAATACGGAGTAAATAAAGGCTTTTGATGTAACTTCACTCTTTGCTCTGACTAAATTGCCCGAAGAACATTTTCTTCTCTGTGACCATCTTCAAGTTCCCAGGACATTTAAAGCTCAACACCTCTTCATGTTTCTTTTTTAGCTCTAATAAATCCCAGAAGTAAAGAAAAAAGGCAAGTACATCACTCGCTACAGATTCTAAAAATGGAACATTTTCAACCTCCTATTGTGGCTTTTTTTTTTTAAACATCACTGCAGCTGCACTGATTAATCAATTTGTTCTTAAGCACTAAATGAATCCTCAACTATTAAGACAATCAATTAATCATTTCTTTTTAAAGAAAAAAAACCCTCAAAATCATCTGATTCCACCTTCCTAAATGTGTCTTTTTTTTCTTTTTCTATGACGATAAACTGGATATCTTTTGATTGCTGATAAAACAGGACATTCTAAACACTGATCGACATTTTTAAAAATCATTTTCTAACATTTTACAGACCAGAAAACGAATCAAACAATCAAGAGAATAATCGTCATGAAATTAGCTTTAAGTAGAACTTTCATTTTAATCCCAAACATTGCAAAAAAGTTATTACAAACTCATGTTTTGTAGAGAAATATTGTTCAAAAATGTCCAAAATTACTGCAGACATGCCAAAGTTTTCTTAAATATGTCACACTGAATTTGGGGTAAATGCGTATAAAATAAATGATATGACATCTAAAAGATTTCCTTTTGATCGGATGGTTCCACTACAAAAATGAAGTCCTGGATTTTGATGTTTTGGTGGAAGAAGCTGATAGAGAACACACATGTGACAGTGTGGATCAAGATGATTCCTTCCAACTTTAAAGGCCTCTATGTGGTAAGGAGTGAAACTGTGCTGATGGGTTAAAACAGGCTCCAGCAGCAACGTTTCCTCACTATGCAGATATCGTTAGAGGAGATGGTGGATCCCATCACAGTCACCTTCACCTTCTCTTCCACCCTGATCTTCACCAGTTTCATCCTCCCCTCTCTGTGTTGTTTTCCCTCTCAGCACTTTAATCTTAAAAGCAGCTGCCCCTGATGAGGAAGATCAAAGCATCCCTGCACCAAGCACCGGTCACCGACTCCATCCTCGTGATCACGGTGCACGGTGATATTATTGATTTCTCTGAGATCAATCTCGTCAACCGCTGTTATCCTCTATTGCACCAAAGAGAGCTGGACATGAAGAGAGGAGGAGGAGGAGGAGATTCCAACCTGTTATGTAAGTCGCAGGGAGGATTTTTCACAAGGTAACGACAATGTGTGAAACACAAGTCCACAAGGACTGGGTGATTTTATTTTTTTTTTTTTTTTACTTTTTGTCTAAATTTGTCTGTCGTGTCAGAGGGACGCCTGTGCAGATCTGGCAGGGAGAGCTTTTCTGAGAAATGAGAGAGATGAATGCTCTCTCATAGCCACAGGGAGCTGCATGACGTCAGTCGCCATTCACTGTTTGTGCACAGTTTTGTGTTTTGTTACAGACACACACACACACGGATGTATGAAGCAGTGTTTTTTTCCAGATGAATGCTTGCATAGATGCCTAGTTCTTAAGTAAGATAACCCTTTGGAGCAAGGCAGAGGTGGATTACATGGCTGCTGAGCCCAGAGTCACAGCCAGGGATCCAGTCAAAGTGGTGGGAGGGAAGGATGGAGAAGAGAGGGAGAAAGAAAGAAAGAAGGAGAGAGAGAAAAAAGAGAGAAAAGAGAGAGAGAGAGAGAAAGACGAAAGCCGGTGAGGGGTTTCTATTTCAAATCTCCCTGGACCCCCAAGGCACTTCCGTTCTGGCAGCATCGTCCACCAAAATAAATCATTTCCATCAAAGCTCTCTGACCATTCAGTGCTTTTCTTCCTCAACAAAAAGCAAACTCACGCAAGCTGCTGCACTCGTTCAGCTTTCAAAGAGACACACAGGTAGAGCGACGAGCTCTCAGATCAGAATCTAGCAAAATTAACCAAACATGCTCCTGAAAAAAAAACAAAAAAACAAAACTGCTCAGCTTCATAATAGAAAACACATCCGCTTCCATTCCTAGTGGCCAAACTTGTTTTTCATGCTCTTATATAACGTTTCTATTATGTTGCTCCATGGAGAGGCTGCTTTGCAAATGCTCTTTTCTCACACTCGTTGGAAAAGCTGCTCTTAATGTTTCCCTGATTGCACAAATAAGAAGAAGAAGAAGAAAAAAAAAACATCCCACAAGCAAAACCACTAATTTCACATAAGAAACAGAGCGTACCTAATGTCCTATAGTGAAGTCAGATCAGTTTGATGTGGGCTGTGGTCTGTCTGTCTGTCTGTCTTTCTGTCTGTCTGTCTGTCACACGGATCAATAGGTGGTGCTCTTGCATGGGCTGCTGAACTTTTCCCCCTGTCCTCTCCAAGTCGCGCATGAAGTTCATCTTTGCGCACCAGAGCTCAAAACCCATTCCAGTGCGACCAGACGTTTATTAATAGTAATAATATTATTTAAAAATGCTTACGTCATCTGACAAGTAGGGGGAAGATCATTTACGTAGACGTGTGATGATGTGATTGGTCGCTGAATTAGGAATCTTTTTTTTCTTCTTCTTCCAAAAAAAAAAAACGAGCAAAAATGATGCCTGTTTGGGAGGAGAGAGGATGTTTTTTTTTTTTTTTTGGTTCATTTTGTAGGTAACTGCAAGGAAGGTTGGGGTGGTGTATGTGTATGTGTGTGTGTGTGTCAACAAAATTACACCACGGAGGCTTGACAACGTGAAACACACACATACACACACACACATATATACACACAGAGACACAAGCAGCTCTCCGTGCGCGCAGCCGGGGCTGTGCGTCCGAGTGCGCCAGTGAGTGTGTGTTTTGAATTCAAATGCAGCAACACACCAGAGCTGCAAATGCGGAGACTGAGAAAAGGATGGCGATGATGGTGTTTGGGAGCCTTGACATTTTTTTTTCTCCCCACACACACACACGCAATCTCACATACACCCGTGATAAAGTAGCCCACTTCAGAGGTTAAAAAAAAAAGAAGAAGAAAAAAGAAAAAGCTGCCGCATTCGTGCCAGGTACAATCGGGCCACATTTAGCGCGGTAATGATAATAAAGATCCACCTACCATATTGACTTCAGAGACCATGTCTATGCTGGCTATGTCTATATTCATCCCCACGGCCACCGGCGCACCTGTGAAGGAGAGGAGGCGTTAATACGGGACACATGAATTCTTCTTCATTTTTTTCTCCTCCTCATCATGTAAATTGCACAAAATTCGTGACGCGGAGCTCAGGTTCCCTCTCTGATCCCCACATACAGGAGACTTGTGCATCACCGTGAGCGCCAACCTACATGTTTGACACACAGATGAGCACCAAATGGCGCTAATTTCATTTATTTAGCGGACTAATCAAACATTGATGAGCGGTATCGATCACGTTAAAAGCCTTTCATCGGATGAAACATGCACATCATTTCTCTTAGCCCTAATTGGAAAGGCCTATTTGACTGTGAAGGGATGATTATGTAAATTAAAGCAGATTTTGCGATTCATTACACATGTATCGCGCGTCAGGAGGGGCGTGAAAACATGACATTCCGTTTTCACATTTTTTTTTTTTTTTCTCGTTACCTCCGAAATCTGGCCTCAACCGAATGTCGTATCCTTTCATCAGCCTGTCCACTGTTTCTTTTACCAGAGGCATATTGCTCGGATCTTTGATATCCTTGACGCTGTGGAGAGAAAAAGGTGGTGTAATGCAAAATAGCTTGTTAATATCACACGCCAGGCACGCTTCAACAGAGGCTATACATGGCATCGCAAGACGGAGGATGGAGGAGGAAGAAAAAAAATTGAAAAAACACACAAACGACGTTTACCTTTGAGCCCAAACGAAAGTCACTAGTAAGGAAAAAGTCAAAATCCCAAAGTGGTTTTTCCTGATCCTCCCCATCGCAACAGCTTTTGAGGTGGTTTCTGGATGCGAGTGAGGAGAGCGCACATCCAACTTACTCCAGACAGTGCAGAGGAGCCAATGAGGGGCGCATGCGTGCAGCCAGCCCAAGATCAAAGAGTGGAGACTGATGATGGTGGATGAGCAGTTTCCATTGCAGAGAAAAATATTAAAGGGACAAGTGAATGTGCGTAATGAAGAAACAAGCATTTGTGCCAGGAGTGAAAAACGCAGCATCGATGTTCATTAGAAGCTTTTTTATTCTTTCTGTTTATGAGATAAGTTAGTCTATATCCTGACAAGGTCAAATAATGGGATGTTCTGTGGGGTTGAGATTAAGTGAACAGCAAGTTCTGATGGGTTTTTTTTATTTGTTGTTGTTGGGTTTTTTGTTTTTTTTTTAATGTTCCTGGACATGTTGAGTGGATACAGCACCTCATCTCTTACAGGTACATACTTCATACACAAACATGGCCCCCCCTCCCCATCCCCAAAACATCTACGCACCAACCACACTAAAATAGAAAATGCATGCCATCAACACCCATGGGTATCATATCCCACTCTTCCCTGCAATGTTTCCACAGGACCTGCAGTACATCTGAAAATGCAGAGGGAGCACCAGAGCGCCAGAGCAGAAAGGTGGGCTGGAAAAACACAATCCCACAATTCATTTTCTCAGGTTTGAGTACATTTTTTTCCAAGCTGCGAGGAGGGATGCGAGCCTCCTCTAAATTGTCTTTGATCTTGTTGTAGTGGGAGCCGTGCTTCTGTAGAGGGCAGGCTTCTGAAAGCATTGGTTCACTGTTGCATCACCACCAGTTACAGCCATCATAGATTATATCATCCGCATCTTTTTGATGTGTTTCTTGGTTTGTGTGTCTGCAAGAGTGCGTCTGAGCGTCATGCACACACTGTATGTGTGTGGCGATCTGTCTCGGGCTCGGGGAAGTTTGTCGTGTGAGAACGTGGCGGGTGTTTAAAGTGATTGAGGCCGGTGAAGGGCAGCTCTTCAGTTACTGATCAGAACACAAGTGGGCAGTGGTCACAGCCTGTGAAATGAATAGATGTGCAGCAGGAGAATAAATGAGTTTCTGATTCATTTCCTCTGTCAGATGAGAGCAGAGTGAATGCTGAGAGCTTGTTCGCAGAGACGAGAGAGGAGGGTGAGGTGAGGCCGGCTGGATGCTGAAGGTCTCTCAGGCTGCACGTGCCCTTTACCAGGTCCTCTCAGTTTTCAACATCCACGTCCCTGCAAGAGCACAAGCCAGAAATGTGAGCGCAGCTTAGAGAAACCTCTCTCTGCTTCCACATTCAGAGATGCTCTCTCTGCAGCATACCGCACAGCCTAAACTGTTACTGTGCTCCCCCGTCCTCCACTGCGCCTCCTTTTTAAAGTGGCAAAAATATAAAGGCGATAGATGTGTTGCAGCTGTTCTCATGCTCTCCATCTTGTCTCTCTCATTATTCTGCAGAACGTTATAAACAAAACAACCATAAAAATTCTCTGACAGGAACATGAGAAGCATGATGAGCAGATTTGCACTCCCCAGTGTTACATAACAGATCTCTCTCTCCCCCGTCTCTGCCTCTCTCTGTCTTTTTTTTTGCGCTGTATCTCTCTTTTTGCTTCTTGGACATGGAGCTTTGTGTTTTATAAGTGGCTCACTTATAAGCGGGGAAAGTGAATAGTGGCTTCTTCTTCGTGTGGTTAACGTACAAAGTGAGCTCTGGTTTGTTTCCCCTGTGGAGAGAGAGTGCTGTCATTAAAACGACTGGGTTTTTACCAGCCCCCAGGTAAACCTTATATAAAGGAGCTGGATGCATTCTTTCCTCCTCAAATTAACTAAGCATCCCGGCCTCTTTTTGTATTGTAAATCTATGATGATGATAAAAGCCACAGTGCTGGCGTCAATGCAGCAACAACACCACCAAACATCATTCTCCTCTTTTTTTTTTTTTTTCGCCTACAACTCCCGGGGCTGTTTCAGCATTAGAAATTATTGATGTCTTTACTGCCTAGATAAAAGTCTTTGACAAAAAACTGTGGGTAGTTATTGTTCTATTGAAGCTATCATAGGAGCCGAGTGAGACAAAGATTGTGGCTCTTTGAGCTACAAAGTAAGTATGCATATACATTCTTCGTCCATTGTTACACTTTTTTTGTGTCCTTTTTGCCTCATTTGAAGAATATTGGATTTCTTCCACATCTGTCTCAGTTTTTTTTTTTTTTACTATGTTTCATGAAAGGCTTTCTGGATCTGCTGTCTTGTCACACATGACTCACAGAGTGTTGACACGAAAATGTTTTTTAAAAAAAAAGTTTTTGCCTCTTTTTTGAAAAAAAGAAAAAATTATGAGGAAACTTTTAGCAGCTTAGGCCTCTAAATATTATTCAAGCTCAGATTTTCACTACACGAGCATCAAAATAATTCCCAATATTATGACATATCTTGATATCTATGGAAAAACTGGAAAAGAAATAATGCTAGCAGTCAAATTCATCTTAAACTTTGTTTATTGTGTGTTTTGTTTTGTGATTAACACTCAAAATATGAGGGTAGAGAGAGTCTGTTAATAGTTACTGATGCTGCAATATTTATATTTTGCGTGTTTTTTTTTAACATGATATGAATATTAAGTTTTTTTTAAATGTTATGTTAATGTAGGCATACTGTGGCACACAATGGTCTTGCTGTACCTTATTATCATTCTGCTTTAAGGTGAAAAAACACCCTGGATATTTCTTTAAACTAATCACAGTTGTCATACTCCCTCAAAATAGTGATGAGAGAAATGATTTTGGTGGAGCATTTGCATGCGGGGAGGCAAGAACTGCCATTCAAATGACTTTTTCAAAAAAAACAACAACTAAAACAAAACAACTACCTGCCTTACTGTAAGATCCAAACCTTCTGCAAACATTTTACATTCTCAGTGTGGTAGGTTGCTGTATGGAGGGTATTGTTGTTTCATGAAGGAGATTTTGAAACAGCGTAGATAGCAGAAGAGAAAGAGACAGCCATGTGAAATGTGCAGTCAGTTATCAGGCTTAAACCAGCAGTCCACATCTGGTGAGTCACACTACGACAACCATCATTCAAAGAAAGCGGTCTGAGAAGGAAAAAACACTCTTGGAGTTGTAAAAATCGCACGGCCAAAGCAGCTGCGGCTAACTTAATTGTAATCTACAGAACCTACAGTAGAAGAACAATTACTACAGATTTTTGTTACTATTAACAAATTTCATGTTAGGACAAAACGCAACAATCCTTTGGCTGATCTCTTTCCTATTCTGTCTGTTGCACATATATTTCAGGCTGAGAGACAATATTTAAAAGGAAAAAAAAAGTTCTTTTCATGAGATTTATTGACAGTAACAATGTAGAATATCACCACTTATTCTATAAGTACATGGACCTTCCTGTGGTGGCTTTACCCTGATACCAGACAGATGTACCAACAGACTAAAGAGTGGGATGTTACCTGGCCCTCTCCATGGTGTCTTTGGCCAGGTAGATGTACCAGTAGGCCAGGTTGAAGAGGCCGAAGGCCACGGGGAAGAGGATGCGAGCGTATGCGTCAATGGGGCTGGTGCCGGCCAGCTGTGGGATTTGAGGAAAAGCTGAGCCCTGCTGGAGGAAAATGGGCACAGGGGGAGCTTCTCCAGGCTCACTGCGGCACACCGAGTGGTTTCTCTTCTTCAGGCCTTCCCGAGGGTTGTTGTCCGACTGCTGGGGGAGGAAGGGGGAAGCGAAAGAGGTGAGGGTGGGGTTAGTGTTGGTTCTCATAGGGGAGGTTCTACCCTGCAACTTCTTATATGATAATTTTAACATTCTTGTGTCATGCATAAAAGGCTGCAAGTCGTGTTTGTTCCCACAGGAGCTTTCTCTCAATGGTATGCCAACATCTCTGCAGAACGCAGCGGGTAGTTTGCTGAATGCCCATAGGATGGTTGGGAGATTATACAGGGAGGAGAGCTGGAGTTGTTCTCTGTTCTCACACTGAAGCTATTTTTAAAGCATCTAACCATGAGCTCCACACGTGAGACGGATCCCAGGAGGACGCTGTGGTGGCTTACTGTATTAGCATAAAGCATATAGCTGGAGATGAGAGCGCTACAACGGCACATATTACTATTTAATGTGTGGTGTGCCCTGAATGGGGAGAACGAAGGAGGCAGGGTGACTACTTGGAAATGCATAGAAAAAGGCCGATCTGTGGCATGATTTCCTTTTTTCTATATCTGAGTCTGAAGCTGCCGGTTTTCTGTTCATCATTAACATCACTGCATCAAACTCTCTGCAGCACCTAAGACATGCTGTACCTCCATTGTTGGCTTTGTAAATGCGTTTGAAGTGTTTAAAATATGGTGTTTCTGAGCAGGTTGCTTTTATGCAAAGTTCGAGACAACAGCTATGTTATTGACTCACATCTCACACAAAAAATACGTGAGGTTTATCCATTCAAACCACGCAATCAGTGCAATGTTTATGTATTTTTGCCATACGGACTTCTGTATCTGTTACTGAAGATCATCAGGTTAATTGCGGGGAGAGTATATTTTTTAAAAAATCTGATTTTTCAGTTTGATAGATAACCTGTGCTTATTTGCTCTTTGCCCAGTGTTAGATCAGAACTTTTACTCTCATACACTGTAAAAAAATAAACAAATCCTGTACAAAAAAATAAATACATTAAGCAGCAAAAGTGTCAAAGAAAATATGTTAAAAACAGTGGAATACTGTAACATTCAAAAACTGTTTTAAAAAGTGTGAAAATAATATCAAATATCTATAAAATGAATATATTATTTTAGCATTTTAAATACAATAAAACCGTCTAATGTACGGCACACATTGTTAAAGATCAAATTGCTATTGATTTGGATATTATGTAAAGTTTTTGCCTCTTTTCTCCACAGACAACATATTAAATAAATACTTTTAAGATTAAACTAGATGTTACCTGTAATTTAACAAAACAGGAGAAATCTGTCAATAACAGTTTCTACAAATATTTATAATTTTTTAATCTAATGTGTAGATTTTTTTCTTTAACATAATGGAAAATATTTATATAAAAAACTGTATTTTTGCTTAATTAAATACTGCAGTAGTGTAATTTTATAGTCGAACATTTTTAAAAATAACTGAAATTTGTAAAAAAAAATACAGATTTTTTACATGGACATTAGGTATATTTTTGGCCTGCTTACTACCAGTAACATGTAAATTAATACTTTTTTCAGTGATTTGTTTTTTATCTGTAATTTAACAATACAGGTAAAACCAGGAAAATATTAGTAAATTTAAAAAAACAAAAACAACTGTTAATTGTTTACAGCATCTAAAGAAAATATGTTGCTAGAATGTATTTCCAACTATTTGTCTAACCATAAAAATACATCTTTTGCTTTGTTCTTGTTTTGCAAAATAACCACTGTTCCCTCATTAATTAGCTTTATTTTTACTAATTAAAGAATACATCACAGTTTCAGTGCTGCTCTCTTGTAACGCTGTCAAACTTATGATAAGCACTTTTATAAAGTATCAAAATCAATGCGGCACACTCAGAAATATTCTTTCTTCATTATTCAAGCAGTCTCCTTCACTGTCACAACCTGCTGACAACATTACCCAGAATGCAACTCAACAACATCGCCTCGATCAGAGATTTAAGTGTGTTACAAGACGAGCAGCTAATGTATGTATTCATAAAGAAACCAGATTTGTTGGGTTTTACATTTTTAATTTAGTAGAATCCTAACTTTAATTTTTTTAATTTAGTCAGGCTATTTATTAGTTTATAATATTGTAGGTTCTCAAACTAAACATTAAGGTTAGTCTGGTTAATTTGCATTGCATGTAATATTGTAGGGTCTTAATCTTAAATCCATCCATCCATCCATCCATTATCTATACACTGCTTAATCCTCACACACAGGGACGTGAATCTGAGGTCTTCAGATTTAGTTCTTCTTTAATTTTACTCTCATCTCACAGACTAGTGACGCCGACTTGATGCAAGTTTATCAAACAGTGTCATGCCACAAAACACTTCATACAACCTTTTCATTTTTCATACTTAAAGTAAATGCACAGTTTCTTTTCCTTTTTTTAAATTATATACCACTTTTCTGACAAGTGACGTTGTTTGATATGAATATTACATGTACCAATAAAAATGTTCCTTTTTGTATGTGCAGAACTAAAGCTGGGGTAAGCAGTAATCTGGACAAGGCAACAAAAAAAATACAAAAAGCAAAGAAGACACAAAGAAAAATTCTGGGTTTGAAAATATACAGTCCTCGTCCTGCAGCTCTCCCACCAGAACAGAGCACATGTTTCAAATGAACGTAGTTATCAAAGCCACAAGTCAACATTTGTTTTGTTAAATCACACAGAATCCAAAGCAAAATTCCTCCATCCAACCCACTGCACCAACACGTACGACTCTCCCCACAAACTTTGCTGATCTTTTTACTATCTCACCTGCTCTGAATGAAGTCTATTTTCCTCTCAGACCACTTAAATCACAATATGCAGAAAGGTTATGATGGATTTTTTCTGCCCAGTGATGCCCAAAAAAATGACTGCTTACTCCAGATTTAACCATCAAAACTACTTACTGAAACCGTGTCATCGTCATCGCTGCCGGTGGCCAGCACCTCAAGCTTGTCCTGTCTGGCTTTTTGCTTCTTCAGACGGTTGGCCTGCAAGGTGGCGAAGTAGTTTACCGCCGCAAATTCAACGAGAGCTGACGCCACAAAGGCAAAACAGACGGCGATGAACCAGTCCATGGCGGTGGCATAGGCTACTTTGGGCAGAGACTGCCTGGCGCTGATGCTCAGGGTGGTCATGGTCAGCACGGTGGTGATACCTTAGGGAGAACCAGGAGTTTATGACTCACACATGGAGATAGAGACTAATATCAACCTGATGAGTTTACATTAATTACGGCTGGGAAGAGGAACAAACCTGCAACTGTGCGTGCAGGAACAGATTCTTTGTTGATCCAAAAAGAGACTTGTGACAGCACGACGACCATTATGAGAGGGATGTAGGTCTGTATGAGGTAGTATCCCAGCTTCCTCTGGAGGTGGAAATGGACCACCTGCACAGAGTAGTGACCTGCAAGATAAACAGCACGTATGAAGAGAGCAAACCCCTGAGGGACCAAGCAGGATAACACAGAGTGGATGCCCTTGCATGCCCTTGAAATAGAATAGCTGCTGATAGGAACATATAGATATATTGATGCTTTTAGGACTGGTGTAGCCTGCTAACTGTAAGAGAAGATGTGAGAGTGAAGAGGAGAGGAAGGAAGAGAGCGGGACAAAAAAAAAGAAAAAAAGGAGGAGGAGGGAAGGAGCACAGCAGACATTTGAAATTGGGATAAAATCAAGCCGGGGAGGAAGAAGCGAGTGCGGTGGGGGCTGGAGGAGAGCTTGCAGTGCCACTCTGCGTAACACTGCCCTGCTCTGCCTAAACACATGCATGCAGACATTCACAGACCAAAAACATGCTGAATCATGCACGCACACATACAGATGTTCCCTCTCTCGCTCCGTGTTTCCTAAATGTGCCTCATCCTCTCTGTTCCAGGGATGTGCTGGGTTCACAGCAGGGAAGCACTTCTCTTTCTTCTGCTGAAAAGAGAACATGCACACACACTACTCCGTCCTTCCTCCTCTCTGTCAGTGCATCCACTGGGCTTTAAACCTTGTAGTTCTTTTTTAAGGCACACCATTCGCATTAGGCCTGACCACTTAAGCATCTTAGATGGCTGCTCAAGGAAGTCTTTGCTTTTATATCAGTCTGCTGCGGGGGAGTAATGGACACTAGTGCAGAGTCTGAAGACTTCTCATTCGACCTCTCTCTGCTCCAAGATTCATCAGCTTGTCCGATTTTTTTTAATCAAACTTTCAAGCGTGTCTGTGACTGTAATTGTATCTCCATAAGAAGAGTGAACAGTGAGCATTACCTGTGTTTAACTTTACTATCTCACTGGACAAAGTCTGTCCCACGAGATCGTACTGCAGAAGACTCATTGACTCTTTGGGACACTCGACGGAGGCTATCGGCCCCTTCCTCCACGTGAACACAATTTCACTGCTGGTGTACGCATCTGAAATGGAGAAGCGTTTAAGAAAACTCTCAGACAACTCAAAAGTTGGACGCATTTATAGATCTGGATGTCAGCATTCATTTTGCTATACTCACAGCTTCCAAACCTGAGAGGACAGGCGTGGCCGTCCATCGGGAAATCCATTAGTCTCATTGGACACTCTGCACTGATTGTCAGCCTGACAGCAAGAGGACACACAGGAATCACTCTCACATATTTATTTCAATGAATGACTAGAAGAGACGTTTTATCAGCAAAACAACACTTTCTAAGATCACCTCATGGTGTAGAGGACAGTGCCATTCTGCATAATGCGGAACAGCTTGTTGGGTGTGGTCATGTTATGCGAAATAGACTTCTTGGAGTTTCTGAAGAAAGTGTCAGGCGTCCAGATCTTGTCCACCATGCGGTTATTCAGCCGCAGGATTTCAGTTGGACCTTCGAATTTCAGCCGCTCATCGACCCACATCTGGCGGAAGAACATGTCCATGGTGTACTCCTGGTGCACGAACACAACACACAAGTGGATGTGAAAACAAATCATCTGCAATCCTAAAGTTTAAATTTAGACCTTTGCCCACTCATTCAGCAGCATGCATAACACTGAGGAGACATTTCAACATTGGAGTGAAAGGTGAGGAGAGATGACGAGGCAATGATGGATGCCACTCATCCCAGATAATCATTAATCAATCCATTCAGCCATTCCCTCTGCCTGACATGTTGTCATATTGATTTAGAGGCCATCAATAATGGAGTTATAAGGCTGGTCAAACAGATTAACGCTCATTAGATGGTCTCATGGCAGATTGCCCATAAGGCTCGTCACTGAAGCACTATTATCCCTCGCAGTCAGCACATATACACGTCCTTACAGAAGTAAGATCGTACCATCTCGACGTCTGAAACAGGTCCAAAGCTGGTGACAAAGATGTCCGTTTTCACCTCTGTAACACCGCCTGCAACAGTAATTAACAGTTGTGCAATGAAAAGCACACAAATAGAGCAGCACAATATCCTCAATGTATCTCAAAAATGGAAGACTTCCAAGGATTGAAAGTTGGAATTACCTCCAGAACCAGGTCGCAGTCTGTTGTCATAACCATCCAACAGTCTATCCAAAATGCGAGTGATGTTGTCTGAGAATATCTTTTCATTTCCCAAAACATTACCTAGACTGCAGAGGGGGGGAAAAAAGCATTAAACTCTCAGGATCACTGTTTAAATGTTTCAACACGGGGGAAAAAAAAGACTCACCTTATCCAGCATATAAAAGCAACCAAAGTTAACGAGCGGACGGCCATCCTTTGCAGCAACTTTTCAGTCAACTTCCCCAGCAATGCATACCGTATTAAAAAGCATGTGAGAGGAGCAGAAGAACCAATAGAACCAGCGTGCTTTTTTTTATGTGTGACTGGTAGGTGTGCAAAAGAAGACAGAACGCACTAAGACGGGAGCAGTAATCTAATTAACAGATTAGCAAATCCACTCCACTTTTAGACAAACAGTGGATTCATTTGGTGTGGCTAAATTAAGATAATTAAAGCCAAAAAAAAAACAAAAAAAAAGATCCAATGCAACACGTTAATTTAAAGTAATAATAAAAAAGCCAGTGATAAGCAGTACCTTGTTTCCTGAGAGCAGGCGTCATGTTGTAGTTCCACCTGACAGGCAGCAGATGGCGCTGCAGCCAAACCGACACTCAGGGAAACCAACGCAGAAGAAGAAGGAGGGGAAAAAAAAAAAAAGAAGAAGAAGAAGAAGTTTGAGGCAATAACACAGCGAGATAATAATAAAACTGACCAGTACTGACACCTATACAAATAAAAAGATTTATTTTAAGGTGGCGGTACATAAACAGTTGTAAAGGTAAAACGCTGAGCAAACTGCTAGCAAAACTGTTAGCACAACTTCTCTGCTAGCTTGTTTCTACTGCTAGTCAGTTAGCAGACGTTAGCCGACCTGTGAGCCGGTGCGAAGCCGCAGCATGTCGGCGCACTTCGAGGAGAAAAGTGGTGTCGTCCCCTGCAAGACCCCCTGGGGATCCTGGTACCAGACCATGGAGGAGGTCTTCATCGAAGTCAATGTGCCTCAAGGGACCTCCGCTAAAGAGGTCAGGTGCCATTTAGGAAGCAGAGACATCGAGTTGTTCGTCAAAGGGAAGGAGGTCTTCAAGGTAAGCTACTGAAGTGAGTCTCCCAGCAGTATAGTTTGTTTTTACTCACAGAATAGAGATCAAATTTGGGTCAGTTCCCTTTTTATTTTCTGTAAATCTGTTTGCCTTTTGGTAGCAGAAAGTAAAAAAATATGATTCATGAAGTCTGTCCTCTAACCACCTATCTCACCCAGTGACTAAAATGACCAACAGCCAAGATGTGGCAAAGAAAAACTGCCCTTTCTCAGTATGTAGGTCATAATGCTTGACTTAAAGTGTCATTTATTTTTTTACAGGCTTTTAAACCCTGTATGTGTTACAACCTAGCTTTCTAGGATGAGCTAGGATAGTAACAAACAGGTGTTCTTCGTTGGGTAAAGCAATTTATTGCTTGGTGACATAATTATGAAAAGAAAAGGTGACAACACTGCAAATAAAACAAAGCTGGTGGGCACTGCTAAATCAAAGAACCAAATCAGACCAAGCAAGGACTAACAGAGTTTTTAAATAAATAACTTACTTTGAAAAAATAAGCCAAGCTTGAAGACACAATAGCAACACCCATGTGACTAACAAGAGTAACTTACAAAGTGAAAAACTAAACAAACAAGTGCCTCAAAACACAGAAGCTCAGAGCGACTACTAATCACCTCTCAGTGGCTACAGAAAACAAGACAAGTAACTTATAGTTTCACAGCAGGAGTTACAAATTTACATCAAACATAAGACAACTAGAGGCACTTAAAGTTGCTCACATGAAGTCACTGAGTTGGGCTCCAGATTTAAACCCCAGGTGTGGGGATTGCTGCAGTTTGACTGGTGGAGGGAACTGGGTGGTGGTCCAATCAGCCACAGCAATAGGTAGGGAGAAGAAGGAGGGCAGGTCTGGAGCTCCAGGCCAGTCATCCATGATTACAGGAAGGGGGGTCTGGAGCATGCTCTTCAGCCAGCTGTAATTAAGTCCATGCAAGCTTTCTCCTCCCATAGAGGCCACAAGGGATCCACCACAAAAAGGGAAGGCATCTGGCCTCCAGGGGCCCTGACATCATGTAATACTGCTAAGTCCTGATCAGATTTGACTTCCTGTTCCTTTTTAAAATATGTTGGACCTTCACCACACAGCGTTTCCTCCTCTTTTGTCAACTGTTCTTAAATCTTAATATCACAACAAATTTCACTGCTTTGTGCCCACATACAGTTCATTTCAATTCATTAATTTGGGTTTTGGCTGTAGCTGAGAGAGGTCTCATGCTAAAATATTTAATTTCAGGTGATGTCGATGCTTGTAAGTTACTTTTTAATGACTTGCTTGTAATACATTTCATTTGAATTTAACCTCATTGCACTCAGGTAACAGTTACAGTGTTAACACAGCAATGAAAGATGTACACAAATAACTACAATTATACACTTAAAAAAAAAAAAAAGATAAACGCATGATCTCACTTTGAATAACTTTAGGTTTTTGTTAAGTGCTTTCATGGTGGTTTGCATCTTATACATTCAAGTGATTACTATTGCTCAGGTGTCTATAACAAGTACATATCACTATGGTTTTAGTGCACAAGCCTATATTAACTTGTCTTTTCTTTTTATATTCTGTCAGGGAAAGCTGCTTGACACAACCGTGTCTGACGAGGCTACGTGGACACTGGGTAGGTGGCACACCTCTAAGATTCATCCTCAGGCTTTGCTTAGACTTTAACGTACAAAAGTCAGCCTCATGTTTGTCCTGTTTTGCTGATTTTCTCCTCAGAGGATAAGTGCCTCATCCGCATCATTCTCATGAAGACCAACAGAGAGGCGGGGAACTGCTGGTCCTCCCTGCTGGAGGGGGAATACTGTGCGAATGCCTGGGTCCAGGACCAGATGCAGAGAAAACTCACTCTGGAGCGGTTTCAGCGAGAGGTTAGTTTGATTCAGTGCCACCTGAAGTGGCATCAAATGTACTGTACGCTGCCAAGACTGTATTATAAGTCTACATCAGTGATTGTCTGTTCTTGTACATTTTCTCTCCACATGGCTACATCACTGCAACTTTGTGAGGCCGATAGATGCAAGTTTCTAATAAGAAACCCTCACAGTTCTTAACAAAGGGCTCATAAGCTCTAACTAATGACTCTAATTTATGAATTCCTGACTAATTCTTTTAGTTATAAACCATTAACCACAACTAATTTTTCATATTATGAGAAATCCCTCTTTGGTCTAAATGTAGATAATCCATCAATAGATGCTCAAAGGCTTTTCTCATTATAGGAATTCATCAGGTTTCTAATTGTAAATGTCAGCAACCTATGAATAAAGGGTTTCAATCATCAGGGCTGCAGAGGAGTGTACTACGACACAAGATTAATGGGTTAGTGAGCTATGTTGGCCTTAAACTTTAAGCCAGTGTCGCAAAGGTGTGTCTCTTTTAAACTGCTAGATCACCATGATAACTTATGCTGCACAGCTAACCTGCTCCAGAGGAGGTTCTGTCTGGAGTTTGGTATTTAAATAGGATGTAAGAAGTGTCTCCCTTTTACTATTTATTTTCCTGTAAGTTCTTTATACGATATAGATTCTCAGCTGAAGGAATACTTTTGAAAACCTGTTGAGCTGTATGCTAGTAATGCCACTGGATAAAGTTGTGCAAGTACAATGGTACAAACCATATGTGTCCTGTTGCTATGAAAATGTATGTGCATCCAGATGGTGATGCAGATAATGCATAAATATGTTTCTATGTTTGGTTCTAATGTGCTTCACAGTCTGTTTTTACACTGCTAGTAGCACAGCTAATAGAGCAGATGAGACAACTGATTCGTCTATTGGTATTTATCCCACAGAGTATTCAATCAATAACAATAACTTCACTTTGATTTTATGGGACAGCGTCAGACCTAAATGCAGTTCTTAAGTGTCATGTTTAAATAAATGGAGTTTAAAGTTTAAGAGCTCAAACGCGCAGCTGACACGTTAGAATCAAACAGCTGCATTGATAGCGCACTGAGTAGTAAAATAAATACAGTAACTTACATGATTAACAATTTTACTACCCGCATTGTTCTCCCCAATCATTTGCATTAACAGTGTTGCTTTTCATCCTAACAAGCTTTAATATTGCTCATAGCTCTCTATTAAAACAATCTATTCCTCTTGACTGAAGTCGGCAACATGCAGTCTGTCAATCTTGTGTGGAAGAAGAGACACGTGAAACACCCCCTTTCATGGGAGTGCTTGACTTAGTTTAAACAAATATGGATAAACATGATCATGACAACCATTGTGTCTCATTGGGGGTTTAGTTTTTGTCAAGCCAGCTAACACCAAGAAAGCCTGGATATGTCACACTTACTGCATAGTACACTCCTCAGCTCTAAGTGTTGTGAACATTTCTAATTTGAAACTCGTCTGCAGCTTTTAAACTTGTGAACTTGTGAGCTTGTGAATTTATCTTGACGTCCCAAATAGTATCAAAGTTTTTGTGTGAATTTGCAAAATTTATGAAAACTGTTTGCTCATCCTACAACTACTGCTTTTAAATAAGTTTGCTCTGCTTTGGTAGAATCCTGGATTTGACTTCAGCGGCGCAGAGATCTCTGGGAATTTTGCTGGCGGTGGTCCGGACTTCTCCAGTTTACAGAAGTGACCGATGCCATGATGTGATAACACATGCTGGAGGTGTTGCATCTGCCTTTCATCCATGGCCCGCAGAGGAACAGTGGATTTAGGAAGTCTTCTGTGATGAGACGCCCTCAAAAAAACAAAAAAACCCTGCCTTTAAAAGTACTCAAATACCAGCTGTACTCTAAGACGTTGTATGACTAGAGACTTTCCACAGCGTTTCCACTTTCGTTTGAAGGTTCTCAGCTGTGAAGGACTGATTTTGTTTAAGCCTGATTTGGCAAGTTGCAAGGCTCATTTTGCTGGAGGATGTTGATGGGAACTGTTTACAAGAAACCTGTGAGATGTGTTGTCTTTCAATAATGACAGTAATGCACACAGCAATAGCTTTTCAATAAAGTTTTATTGAAAGGTACACGAACATAGGTTAATCAGATGGTGTATTCAATTAGCCATTTTGAACTTGAGAACACATTTATTCTTGTCACTAAAAGAAAACTACTTGACAGGGAAACTGGCAAAGAAAATGCAATATCCAATCCACATTTCCACTGCAATAACTTTTTTTTTTTTTTTTTTAAATTGTTCTCTGCATAATTGACAACTGAAATCGATTAATACTTGTGGTGCTTCACTCTGTGTCCACAAATGAAGAATCGGTGAAAACAACTCATCTGTAACCGCTGATGACGCTTCAGCTCAAACAGTGGTTAGCCTTACATGACAGGATCGTCACTAGCATCATTTTCTGGTGCAAACCAGAGCTCCCTCGCCGCATCAAAGAAAAAAAAATGATCACCTTGGGTAGGAGTGTGCATTCAGGACAGTTTAGCAACCTAGGGTGGGAGTTAAGGATTTTGGGCCCGATTTCTTGGTTCCTTTTTTGCTGTTCACAAAATCCTTCTCCCTCCTCTTCCACATGGTGGACTGAGGACCTAGGTGGTTCTATACTTATTAGCTTAAAACCAGCAACCCGTTCCAGGAAATACCAATCACCTTGGTACGGATTTAAACGAGAACATACTATACACCTGTGCAAGCAACTCAACCAGGAAAGTAAAACTTGGCAGGATGGCAGTAGATTAAACTCCGTGTCAGTGGGACAGAAAATACAGTGCGCTTGATCAATGCATGATGACAAACTGAAAAATAGTTACATTTTAGCTTTTCCTTAAAGAAATCCATCATCACAGATGAAGATCTATAAGGAAAATGAGCAGCGCTGTAAGTGGGTGACCATACTGCGAGCAAATCACCCAAAAATTACATCCAGTCAGAGAACAAGGACGCAACAGTGGGAACAGATGTAATCTTTCTCTGCAGTTAAGGTCACCCATTTGTACGCCCAGGTTTTAACAAGCTGACTCGGGTATGGTGGGAAGATGAGCGATCTTGTAGTAGCTGTGCTTCAGCTGACGTGCAGTTCTTCCCGAAATAGTCCAGCGAAGTCTCTGACAGTTAGGCTTGGAGCACTTGGTGGTGGCGTATTCAGCCAAGCATTTTCCAACTAACACCCGCACACAGACCAGGTCCCCGTTTTTGATCTGCAGAGAACAGAAATAGTTTTCAGATATTTGTGTTCACACGTCAAGGGGCATTACTGTACCTGAACAATCACAGACATGCATTTTCCAATTATTCAGCTCCTCATCTCATGAAAATGAATTTCCACAAATACTAAAATGAAGCAGTCATTGAAATTCCATCTAAATGACTGAGTACAGCGCACGTTTAAGATTGAGGCTTACATTCAGCTGCTGCTGCAGACGTTTCAGGGCCTCTGATATTTCGTCCATGTGCTCAGGGTCGTGTTCTTCTTGAGCCTCAAAACACAAGAGAGCCATGGCAAGCAGAGATGGCTGGGGAAAAAAATAATAATAAAAAAATCACTCAAGTAGAGTTTATTATTCCCAAAATACCAGAAATAATATGCTTGTTTAGGAAAACTTGCCTTTAGATCATAGAAACGTTCTAAATGAAAGAGCACAGATGCCCTACTTTATATCTGGACTGCCATTATTTAAAATGTTGGGAGACAAGTTATTTTGACCTACCTTTATTTTGGAGAAGACAAATGAGCAGTGACAGGCTTTCAGCTGCGCCTCCAGTCTCTCAAGACTCAGTATCTTCTTGCTGCAAAAAGAAAATGCTTTTAGTGTCAAAATTGCAACCACATATGTAAAATCCACTGGAAGCACAGATCACTATAATAAGACAGCCATCTGCTTCAGTCAACTTAGTGACTAAAAAATGCAGACAAAAATGTTTTATATACTTTTAAGTACAACAACCATAATACTGGTAATGTTTGAAAAGCGGGATTTTCATATATGTTCTCTAACACGCTGTCAACGTCTAAAAATCTACATGATTTCAAATAAGACTATGCCTGTTGGCAAAAAAATATTTCTGGCTAGTTTTATCTTTCAAGCCAAATATGAGAAGACACATTTTAGCAGAGTAAATATAATCTTGTTGAGTCATGGTTTAGCCCTGCAGGTTAATGTGACCGTCTGTCCTTACCTCTCAGCGTCGAGCTGCTCCTGGATGTGGCTGTGAAAGAGGCGGAGAAAGCGAAGGGCTGTGGGGGCCTTCACCTTCCAGTAGAGCTTCTCCATGATGATCTTCTCCATCCTCATCATGTCAGACACAGTGAAGCGATTCTGACTGATGCGGATTAGGTCATTGGCCAGAGGCACGTTCTTCTCCTCTTCCGAGGACTTTACAGCAATGTAGAAGCAGCAAAGGCCCACACAGGACAGGTGTTTTGGCTGGATCTATAGGAGACAAGAACAGCGATATTAGAGTATGGATTTTTTTTTTTTTTTAATGATTTTCATGGGACAGTCAACAAAATGTGGATTAAAGGTAGCGGTGCATTTACAAACCTTCATTACAGAGAGGAATCGATCCAGCAAGCTGATGGCCAGCGAGAAGGTCTCTGAGCTGAAACCAAAGAACCTGGTCAGAGAGAGCAGGTCCTTCACCTCCAGCTCTCTCAGTCTGGATGTCATCCTGAGGCCATTGTCCTGGGCACTTTCAATGAGCCTCAAGCCACTCAGCTTTGGTTGGTATCGGCCCTCCAAATCTGTCAGGGCCTTCAGCTGAACTGCAAAAGGCTGTGCTCCAGGTCCTGCCACTGTATCAATCATCTGTGCAAACAGGAAAGAAAGAGCTGAATCATAATGACTAAATGCCCCAAAACACAGTTTAGACTCTTAATCTGTAGTTTAGACTGATTATATCCACATATATTTGATCAGAAACAATCACCGTAATTGCTTACCCTACACAACTACAAAGCTGTTGAAATAATTACTAAACCACTTTGAAAAACTAGTGTAAAGTGAGCATTTTAAATAATTACGACATGTTCAGTCATCAGGACTTTAGGAAATGCAAGTGTGAGGCAAAAGTTTATTCCGCTAATTCCGAACGGTTTGGCAATGTCTGTCTCTGGCTGTCTTGTCACCATCTTGCAAGTTCCTTCTGTTAGTCACTGTCGAATGATAATTTGTGTGGATTACCTGTTGACTTCACCCATACAGCTTAAGCAGAAAATAATGTGTAAATGTTTTCAGCCATCAAGAGTGATTTTTTAAAAACATTTCAATTCATCTTGTATTTAAAAACATCATTCATGGCATGATCTGAAATATTGTAGGACTTTTGTCATGTCCTTAAAGAGATGCTGTAATGATTTAGCCACTATGAAAACATGCAAACAAAACTATCAGTGCTGAAGGCCTGTTGTGCAGACTTTTTAAAGAAAACAGCACGTGGTCTAACAATTGTTTCCAAAGCTTTAGGTGTGTTTGATGTGCATGTCTTTAATAAGGTTAATATGCTCTCATTGAGCGGAAAAATATGGTGTAGATGATGGCTAAGCAGGTACAGACATCGACCACTTAATTTACTACAACAATCAAATAATGGTTGTTTCATTTAAAAGCATCTCCACTTCCAAATGAAAACTGCCAAACAATTCAGTATATAGTATCAATGTAGTTTACTACTAAGGCTAGATCAGGACTGTGTTGTGTTTTGTTCCGGAGTTTCTGAGATGAATGGATGCTTCCAAATTTGTAAACTGTCCAGTCACAAGCCTTCCCCTACCAGCTGTCACTAAACTGGAGTCAACTGGACTAAACAGGAGGCGATACTACACGGATACATAACAGGGACATGACAAACAAAGTTTCTCAGTTTATAATGATAGATTTTTTGGCACATTTAAGTCACTCCAAGTTTCTTCAACTGTATGACCCACGCTGTGTTGGTAACATTTTGCTGGTCCGGGCAGTGCATTAGCTGTAATCAAAGCAGCAGGCCCTGAGTGAGAGCAGGACCTGCGTCATGTCGGGACATGTCCCTGCCATACACACCAACGGAGAGCTAATGCCGAGCCTTGTGACAACAACAAATCCAAGTAAGCTAACACAATTTAACCCGCAAAACTGTGCCTAAAACTACAACACACACCTCCACTAACATCATGTAACTTAAACCCCACATGTTCGTGAAGAGGAAAATACAAAATGACACATTAATCTTACGTTGACGACGTAACTGTTAGCTACCACCGCTAACGCTAGCTAAAATCATTTCTGAGGGCTTGTGCCGTTGTTTTATATTTTCTGATGACTGACAGCTACACACAAAAATGTTTTACGGTTTCAGAAACACGTAAACTATTAATCAAACATATATTTAGGTTAGTTTTTCATGTGATATAGAGAAAAGCTTGCTTTACTTACCTTGGATAGTTACGCTTCCTTTGCTGTTACGAAAAAAACAGGAGTTGAAAAAAAGCCTCCACAAGCTTAAAATAAGCAAGTGAAATGAGGTTTAAAACACAAAAGGTGTAAGTATGAACTTTCACTAAAGAAAGTTTTAAGCATAGGTTAATTTCTGCCTATGCACACCCCCTACCCTTGGCGTAAGGCGATGGGGAAAAGGACAGTTTGGGTATTAAAGCAGGCATAAAACCAAGCCCATGTCCAAGCAAGCTGAGCTCCCATTGGCCTACGACCGGTGACGTTCATGATTCTCTATTTCAATTGGATAATTTACCGGCATTCATGATTTGGTCCCGCCCCCTGCTGGCGAAATAACCAATCATCGTTAGAAGGCGGAACATGTCCGAAAATAGAACCACTGCCTTTTCTTATTATGGTATGTGGACAAAGAATATTAGGCTAAAATTACTATTACCAATAACCAATCATCAATAAGTGGCACAAGAGATACACTATCAGTTGGCACAGTTGCTTTCTTAATTACTATAGGGTTCAGTAAAGTAGAAGCCAAGAAAAGGTATATAACATTTATAAAATAGAGAGAAAAAACTGCAAAAAACAGTACATTTTGTAGAATACTGTGCAGGCTGTCATTACAAATCCATGTAGAAAATGTACTTTCATGGATCGTGGGTTAGTGCACAATGCTGCCTCGTCTTTGTACACTGAGGCCTACTGGCAGGTTTCTGGAACAATCTGGAAGGAACATGAACCTGCAGCTCACCACAACCAGATCTCTGTCGGCTTCATTGGTCTTTTCTGTGTAAAAGTGCAGTTATGGAGAGAACAATACACATTTTCAATAAAGTAACTCTTTATTACATTAGGATTTACAAATCTGCAAGCAGGCCCATGCAGACCTACCATATAGATCTAATGACATTAAGCGATTTAATCCTGAATTCGTACACATCCAGAGTTTTTCGTGTAACAACAGAATATATAGTTTTTGCAGTTGATCTATGAAATACTTCTATCTATATATTTTTGACACAACATAAGGGCTGGCATGTTAGTATGACAGGGTACCCTTTATGATTATAGATATGATTAAATATAATATTTGTACTATGATAAAGTTAAAGTGCTTCTAAATCATAATATGATTCACAATCAATACAACCTTAAACAGCAACATCATGTCAGTTATATTTTTCACAGTGAAAATTGTCATCAGTCAGAAATAACAAGCAGAATATGACAGATGAAAGAAAATAGCACAATTAGTACAAAAACGGATATTTTGGCAATGGAGAGCTTTTAATACTTGTAGGAATGAGGTTTGGGAGCCATGCAGAGACCATGCTACAGAGCGCTGTTTAGAAGCTTAATAAAGGACAAAGTTTAGTAGACATGGAAGACTTCAGGCTGACCCACTTCCAAGGATGTTTCATTTCTATAAAATTTGTATTTAACATTGTAAAAAATAATAAACTTGTTAGTCTGTGATCTTTTGATGTGGTAGAAAGTCTTCTAATTCAAATTCCTTCCTGAGGTTAAGGAGCACGCAGATGGAAGACTAAAGAAGCTACGAAAAGGAAAGAAAAAGCATGTCATTTATCTTAAACAAGCAGCAGTCATTAGGGTCATTAGACAAACCTCAAAAAAACAGATGAAATATTACACATTTAGTGCAAATGTTAATTAAAAGGCACTTTGCTGTGTATCCTGTTGGCTGCCACTGACTGAAGGCGAAAACAAAACTTAAGCTTTGATCAAACAGATAGTGCTTGTCCAGGAACACTGTTAGCATTGTTAATACGTCCAAAGTATAGGATGTGGCGGGTGTGTCATGACGACGATGTGAAATGCTTTGAATCTTACAAATGGCGGATGTGGTGAAAGTCCAGAACAGTGATGAAATTAAACAGACAGATGAAGTGATGCTCTATTTCTTTTTTCAATGTCTTTATTTAAATGTAATTGAAGGCAAAATATTTGCTTTTTTCCACACTCACTGTAAATATGTTCTATTATGTTCTTTATAACTTTGCATAGAATAGTGTTCAGACTATTAAGTTATCTTACTTCAAAATAACAATTAAAAAAAAAAATCAATGTCTGTATATACAGTAAACACTGTTCTGTAAATAACTGCATGTATAAATACACACAAGTTCTTGTTGCATGTTAATATATAACACAACCATCAGTTCAGTCAGCAACTGATTTCTATTAAGTCCTGTTAGTGTCTCACTGAGAACCAGAGACTTAAATGTACAACAGGAGATGAACACACATTCATGGCAAGAACATAAAACAACACAAGCTGCGTGATAATGAAAACAGTCCATGGATTTGTTATTATGTGTCGAGCACAGTCAGCATTAGGGACAAATTAAATACACTGAGCAAAGCTACCTTTTTGATCCATAAGTACACAGTGGCTTGTAGCCGTCACATTGTTCACGCTCACATACGTGTATAGTCAGTCCACACATACGGTGTCAGTAAGTAATATCAGACATGACAGTCTCTTTTTCCCATGCTGACGGCAGACACATTCCCGGTTTCCCTGGATGTTTGATCCATAAATCAACTGAAAGGGGAAAAGAAATAAGACAACATATGGCAAAAGGAAACAAAAAATGAAGGATATGATGTATGGTAGAAATGAAAATAAAAAGTGAATGAAGCTGGAATGCAACAGTGTTTAGGTTGGAACTTCTTTAAGCGACAATTTAATTCCATTTCTGCAGTCAAACTGGCAGCTCAAATTCAGTTTTGGACATTCCCACATTTAAATCAGATATGTTTGAAAACCAATGGGAACCAATGTATATTAATCAGATTGAGGGCATAAAAGTGTATTCATAGAGACACTTCTTAATGTGATCACTCAGCTCAGGAGTTTAAACCACCTTGTGGTCACATTCAACACTGACAGTGTGTCTCCATCATGGCTAACTGACCACGACTCCACATCTACCACCAGAAATGACTGCATATAAAAATCTATATTTTCTTCAGCTAAATCATTAAAGTTGCTTCTTTTACTGGAGCAGAGAATTTCAGGCAAATCTTCACTTATGGACTCTTGCTGTTTGGACAAAGCCATAACAATTAAATTAAACCAGCCTGTCATTTGAAGACAAGTCTGAAGAAAGTCTTACCTTAAAGAGCCCATACTATGTTTTTGGGGTTTTTACCTTTCCTTTAGTGTGTTATTTAGCTGCTTTTAAAGTGCATGTAAAGGTCTGCAAACTTACAAAGTCCAAAGTCCTCGCCAAAGGGAGTTATTCTTTCTCTCAGATAACACTGCTCCTTACCTGCCTGTAACGCCTCATTTAAAGTACAAGATTTTCTTCTTTTACTTATTTACATCACCATGGAACACATTTGCCACAAAACAATGAACACCTCCTTACAGTCCGTCATTACTTCCTCACGACAGCCTCCTCTGCTATGATTACAACCTTATAGTCAGAGCTGCAGCAATGTACAAGATGAGAAAATACTGGTTTTTGAACATTAAAGCTTGCAACACATTCTAGTGAACCCCAAATATAATATAATATAAAATAAATTAAACTTCAAATGTGCATAATATGGGCTCTTTAAAGCTTTTGAAAACTTTTAAGATACACTTCCTCACCTGGGACAAATTCTAAAAATATACATTATCTTCTTGATCAGTTTGTATGTATATATTTAGTGTATGCAGCTGTTCTTGTATTATTTTGTTGTTGATGTTTTTTTGTATACTGGGCTTTACATAATAACCAAAAGAATCACTGAAACATACACAGAAACCTGTTGAAATCACATGTTCGGCCATGTGTGGCATTATACTGGCTAAACGCCTGTGGCCATCTTTAACATTTTCACCCACATCGTAGGATGTTAAAGCCAGTACAAACTACAAAAGTGGCATTTTCTAAAGAAACTACACTTCAGTTTGTTCATATTTGCTTCTGTTTTACCAATCATTAAGACAACTTTGTGATCGTAGATTTTCAAAACTAATCTTCGCTTCAAACTGCGAGTGCGAGTTTTCAGCACACACAATTCAACCTGACAGATAATGTTTCCACCTGCAACAATGATTACAGTTCTACATGGGATGTCTGAGTATCATCTGTGTTGCACATGGCGTGAGCATCGATGAGACCAGTCGAATGTAAACAGAAGTGCCCCTGCCTGAGATACAGTCTGGCAGGTCAGCCTGCAGAGACATAAGCATCAGGCTGTGTCATGCAAGCTGTGACCCGTCCTACGGTGTCTGGGCACACAGTGTCAGTCTGAATCTGTCCCTGTATCACTTTCTGAGCCAACATGGCTTCTGGGAAGATAACACTATGTCATTAATCACATTCTATAGCTCCCCCTTCCAATCAGCTCCACATAAACTGGCTTAGACAATACACGTCCCTGGCTCTTGAATCTATGTGTGACATTTAAGAAATTGAATAAAACGAGAGATCTTAGTGTTGTTACAGTTCAGTGGCATTAATGCGCCGACAACCACGAACCAAAGGAACAGCAATACAAAGCAAACACATGCAGAAAAGCAGACTTACTTCTTCTTGTCCTTGTCCTTCTTGAAGGGCTGTGAGCAGCCTTGAAGCGCCTGTCCCATCAGTGTCTCAGCTGCAACCTTTCTTCTGTTGAAGGCGTTCATCTCCTCCTCCAGTTCTCGTCTTTTCTCCTCCAGGTTCTTCTTTTCTTCCTGGTGCATCCGCTTGAGCTGCTCAAACCTCTCGTGAAGCTAGGAATGATGAGGATGATGGGAAGGGGGAGAAATTGAGATATAGGTATTATCAAAGAGGAGCCATTTTATGATGATGCCAGTCCTCACCTCTTTTTCCTTCTCTTTCAGCTCTGCTTCTGTCTCCTTGACTTTGTTGACAAACATCTGTCTCATTTCTTCCTCTTTTCGCTGCAGCTCCACAAGAAACTCCTTCCTCTTGGCTTCGTATGTCTCCTGAAGGCTGGAGATCAAAGTCAAAATTAAGCTCACTTTACTGCCCTAAATGGACAAAATTGGCATGCAAAAGCTTACAAGAGCTGATGGATACATGATCCAGATATGCAAACACTTCTTTATTTAAAATCTTGCCATCTTGCCTGTACTACTGTGTATGTACAGCAAAATGACAATAAACATGATTCGATCTGCTTTTGATTTGATACAGACTCAATAAATGCTCTTATGCTCTGTCTATACTGGGTAGATTTCAAATTACGCACAAAAAAATAAAACGACACATCCAAAGGACAAAATGTTTTGACTGGAGTGTGTTACTGATTTTACCTAACAACCTAATTAGCTAAGAAGGACAAACACATTTATAAATAACTGGTCTGACTCAGTCCTGAGCTGCATTTAATATATCAGATTGGGCTGATTCATGAACACAACTTGTCAACACTGGGGACTGCAAGCGACAATCTCTTGATGAATTTATAAAAGGGACTAGAATGTTCAGATGAATCAAAATACAAGCAAATTTATTTAATTAATTACATATGATGCTAGTTAATAAGTTAATAAGTGTGACGCTATACATTTCTCCTTTAAGCTCCAGTGATAAATAAAAAAGAAATCACATTTTTCTTTAGTAAATTAATACATCAAAAATGAATCTTGTTCATGTTACTCTTTCATGTATCCTTTAGTCAATGTTATTTCTTTCACTAGTTTATTAAACTTCCTATTTTCCCCGTTATTGCTTTTAGCACATGCTTTTTTTCTCCCTTTTCCACATTTAACATTTCCATTTCTTTCTCATCGCATTTCCTATTTTCCTCTTGCTCACATTGTAATTAGACGGATGTGTACATGTATGTCCAGGGGAGAATTTGGTCTTGGATGTGTCTTTGATAATAGCTGATAAAGCTGTCGGATGATAGCTGAAGTCTGTGGGGGCACTTTGCACAGGCTTACATTCTATGTACTATTGCAGCACTGTAAGAATCCATTTCTAGTGGGAGGTCAAAACACATTTATGAGGTTGGTTAAAGCACCGAGGTCTACCTGAGAGTGACAGAAATCAGTTAGTGGTGTTGTTTTCCTTATGGACACAGACACGGCTGATCTGCATGAGATTACACTTGTTGGGTAATCTAATCCGAATTGTTTTCAGATGAGATCAATTTACTTACATCTTATCATATGATATAAACATGGATATTAAAGTGCTTCTCATGAATATAGTTCAGCTGAAATACATTGCCCAGATGCATCACATCACCACTATCCCTAATTTCACCTGAACGACTGGCTGTCAGGGCCTGTGTCCTTGAAGCCCATCTCTTCCAGCTTGCAGCGACGGTACAGCTCATAGTGTCGAGCGTGTGTTTGCTCGCGGAGATCCTCCATGTTCACACGCAGCAGCATTTCCCTCAGCTTCACAAAATCACAATGGTTTTCATTCTCCACTGGGGAAAAAAAAACAGAAGCTTGGTTATTTAACCTTCTGCCTTTGCGCTAAAGAATCTAAAAATGATGAATCTAGGCATATTGTGCTTATGAAAACAGAGAATCGTGATGTAATATTTACTGAAAAACTAGTCTAGCATAGCCACACCTATCTCCATAGTGCTGGAGAATGGTCTGACTGCACCTCATTATCATTCCGCAGTTGGGGAAAACAACGCTCTGGTTTGTTTGGAGTTTTTTTTTTAAACCATTCACAATCGTCTCATGCGGCGCTATGCCGGGGCTGCAGTGATGACGCTGCTGCAAAATCATGTCAGGGAGGATATAAAACTTTTGTCCTTGTTAGACAGCAAATATTGTAAAAAAAAATAATCTGTGGAAAATATTTACAATCACTTTAAGAACCAAGCAGGTCTGCCTCATTTCACGACCCAAATCTTTCTCACAACTTGCCATTTTCAGCATGTAGGCTATTAGCTCGGAGGTTTGTTGGTGTGGCAGAAGGGAAGGAGAACGCCGCGTGAAATATTCGGGCCAATGGCAAGCTTATACTCACAGTCTACATCTGGTGAGTCAGACTACTGAAAAACTAATAATAGTTTAGGCAGCAAGCATCTGACTAAACAGCTCCACTGTTTGGGGGACTTTTGTGATGCTTGTCAAATCAATTTCAGCAGACTCACCCTGCACGGATCCCCAGGGGTACAGCCTTGCTTTCACCATCTTATTTCCAACTTTAACGTCTTCTATGCTTCCAACCACAGCAAAGGGAAGATGAGTCTGCAACACAGAGGACTGAGGTTGTTAAAATATTACTGCTGTTGACAAATCCAGGGTGATTATCATACAAATTCCAATGTTTCAGTTGCTCAAAAGTGCGACAACAACACTGACTTAAGTTAGCTTAACATACTATAACAAGCATTATGTGCAAAATGCACATCGCACAAGTAATTTATCATGTATGTGTGTCCGTGTGTTTCTGCGACTCACGTTCATGGAGGAGTTGATCTCCGCAACAGCTTCATCCTCTGTAGGAAACTGATATATCTGCACTCCGTTGCTGACCAGCTCACTCATCACCTTGATCTTTAACTTGTCCAGCTCACTCCTGGATACGGTGTCCGCCTTGGCAATAACTGGGATGATGTTCACCTGAATGAAAAAACAAAGACACGAGTGACACACTGAGGAGAAAGTAACACTGACTGCTGCAACACACGGAACTGCTTGAATCTCTTGTCACCTTGCTGTCCAGTTTCTTCATCGTGACGAGATCGAGGGACTTCAGCGAATGCCCGGTGGGAGCGATGAAATACAGGCAGATGTGGATTCGTGTGTCGTGGTAGTTGAACAGTGAGCGCTTTATTTTTAGCTCCTCTTCAAGATAATTCTCAAATTGGGCATCGATATAATCCAGAATGGGTTTATAGCTGCACAGAAAAAAATATGAGAATCGTTATTTTATCCATACTTGCACGAAATCTAAACTTGACATTGCTTTCCTTGTTGTGTGAGAGACATGTTAGTGTCCCGGTTACAAAGTCTGCAGCCTTGCAGCCAAGAACGCTAGATTTTTATGCTTCCTGCTGTTGGAGCACTCAAGCAGCTATTGAGGCTGCATTTGTTCTACCAGTCATTCCCTTATTCCCTTTCTTCCCTCACAGTTCACATGCCAACAACAGGGCAAAGCTTATTCTCAGTTCCACAATCAGAAAGTGTGTTGGCCAAAGTACAAGAGCGAGAAGTGAGGAAATGATTAATAGCTAGCACTGAGCTCACCAAGAGAAATTTCTAGATGTTTTCTAAATGTTTCTTTCTTTGTGCCAGACGGTTTGTTTCACTTTTTCAGTCTGGATGCCATTCATCAGTCTAAGTAAAAGTCACACCAGCAATCTGTACCTTTCTTCTTTGTTGATCTGGTCTCCAAACCCTACGGTGTGCACAATGGTCAGCTTGAGGTTGACGTTGCTCTCCTGCAGATCGTACGTTTGAGGACGTAGCTGGACCTCATGCTCGTAGTGGCTGGCTTCCTCATTTTCAAACGTTGTGTTGAAAAGAGTGTTCATCAGCGTTGACTTGCCTATCCCCGTCTCACCTTGAATTAAGAAAAGGATGACACAGAAAGCAGAAAGATGCAGGGAAGCATAAATGCTCCACATTCCAAATTAATCTGTGTTATGATCGCAGAGCTAACTCTGGATTGCGCTCAGACGTACCGACACAGAGGATGTTGAAGCAGAATCCCTGAGCAACCGATTTGCTGACCAGCTGATCTGGAAGACTGTCGAACCCCACATGGCCACCGAGCTCCAGGTTTCGCTTTTCTTCATTCTGCAGGACACAGAATAACTTGCTTTTCAATAATAGGTCACCAATATCACCATAGAGCAATAAATATGAAGAACAAAACCTCCATCTCCACTTTCTGCTTTCAAACTTTGACGCATTCTTTGCAAATGAGGTCGTCTCTCTCTCTTCCACTCACCACACGGAACAGTCCCATCTATAAAAAGGTTCTGTCTGAATATCACCAGCCAAATTCCTCCAGTACAGACACGAGAGAGAATCACTTGAATTATGCACCACTGATGTCACATTACATGTCTTAGGTCTGCACGATGGAGTTTTCGGGTAAGTGCTGAGTGTAACAATAATTGGTTGGTAACTTGAGCAGTTATTTTCACTGTTGATTAGTTACTTTTTTTGAAAAGATAACTTTTTGCAGGATAAATGATTTTAACAGACTGATTAACAAAATATTTTATTTTTCTGTGGACGAGCTCACTAATTAGCAGCTAATTGTACTACCACTAGCTTTTTTTTCTTTTTTTTTGGTATTTGTAGACTGACACTTAAGCTAACAAAACTGTTTCACCTCACTTCAACTCATTAATACATTAGGAGAATGATCGGATAGTGAGACCAGCACACAGTCACTACTTTATACTAAAATTCCACCACAAAATACAGCTTTATTCAAATGATGCAAGGCCACAGATGACACAAGTTAAGATGAGAAATAACTATAAGCATGCTGGATTCTGTCTTGTCAATTATCAAGGCAAGAACCAAGCACTTGAATGCCCACAACGCCACCATTTGTCATCTAAGAAATAATTTCATACAGCACAATACAACAAACAATATGCCACATGATCGCAGACCACGTGTCACCGCCTGAGTTCAGGATCGCCACATCTGGCTCATCCATCTGCAAAACCATTTGCAATCAGCTACAGAGCCTGTTGATCAACTTGTTGGTCTTAAACTGTGAGGAATCGCCTGGAAAATCTGGTTTTGCTATCTTTTCTTCCACACCAAGACCTTGGCTGAGCAGCAGAACGGCGTCGTAGTGGCCTCCAGTGGGTAACCACTCATCTTTGTTTGACACTAGAAAGATGGAGGACGGTGCTTTCCACTGATGAATCTCATTTTCTGCTGCACAGACCAGATGGCTGACATCAGTTTTGGCGTCGTACTGGGGAACACTACGCGGATGCAGGTGGAGGGATGATGGTCGGCGATTTGTCAAGAGCACGTCAATGGCAGTCTCAATTTCCAGCAGTATCGAGATGAAATCCTCACACTCTTGATTATCCCGATCACTCGCTGCCATCACTTGACATTTCAACAAGACAACACATCCTCATGTTGCCAGAATACACTCTGTCCTTCCACAGCAGCGGAAACTGTTCCATTCCTCTCATGACCTGCAGACTCTACAGACGTGTCGCCCATCAAATATCTACGTGATGCTCTGGATGACAACATGATCCTGTTCCCAAAATGTCTGCCAACTTCCCCCAGTCCTTCAGGAACAGTGGGACGCCATTAAACAAGCAGCATCAACAACCTCATAAATCTCCATGATGCAAACAGTGGACACGTTCTTGACAGACTTGTGATTTCTGGTCTCTGAAGCATTGAATCATTTCCAATACAGAGTGACGTCAACCCTGTTGTAGAGACGCCATACATTGGAACAACAAACACTTATTCCCCTATTTAAAAGAGTTTAATAAAAAGTGACACACTGCGTTTACATTTCTGTTCAGTATAGAATGTACGTTGCCCTGGCAACCTTGATAAGCCACCATGCTGTGAGGTTGTTCCTCCTTTACCGGATTCACCCTGGGACCCTGGCATCTTGTAAAAGCCTCAACATGAGGACCAGGATGTGTTCAATACAACAATCATCTGTTTCTGCTGCTCTCTCTCACACACACACACACTCACACAGACAGACACACACACATCAACACACAAAGAGCTCTTTATCTGGATGTTATTTCACAGTGTGGGAGGATATCCAAGCTGCTGGCTGCCCTGGTACCCTCAACACCCCCCTCCCTTTCTCAGTCAGACACATTAAACTCAACTAAGTCTTCCGATGCAACCTGCACACAGGCGGCTGAACGCATGTGCTGTGAAGCTGCGATGGGCTGTTAATGAACACACATTGCCGCAAATTGCACGCTCGGCTGGCACATACTTAAAATCTCGCTGAGCAAAGCTGAACGCTGAGGAGCCACTACAGCCGATACTTACAACCGAGATGAAGCTACTACTTATGTTTATCCTCTTAAGTCAGCTTGCTGGCCTGTGTTTCATTCAAACTCTCCTGCGTGGACTCAGGACACCTGTCAGAGGTGCTGACACGGTAAACAGTCAAGTGTTGATGCGCAGACTCCGTGCTGTTTCATGCTGGATGCTGAAGTGCGCTTTTTTTTCTTTTTCTATATCCTCCATGTTTACAAAGGCTGCCTCACCAACACGAAACGACGATGCTTTTTTTTTTTTTTTTTTAAACCTCATCCCGATTCATTACACATAACAAGCCTTTCTCATGACCGCAGCCCTCCTGCTGCATTCTCCACATCATCACCATCACCTTGCTCTTACATGCACCTGAATGATCGCCTTCCGCCTTAATTCCCATCTCTACTCCTGTCAAGACACCACATCATCAGCCACTACAAGCCCGCAGACACTTGGATCATCGTACTTACTGCGAAAACATCCACCTCGCTGGCCGCCATCGTCACAAGTGTCTGTGCGCAGGAATTATCTGCGTTCAGCCAGACCTGCTCTCCACATTACGCAGGGACTCGCTCCTCTCAATATGGCTACTTGGAGGCAACACCCCCTCGGTGCTGGAGGGCGACATTACAACAGCCTGGAACTGAATTATTTCTCTGCTCTCAGGAAGTTTCTCATGTGTTTCTTTTTGTTTGTTCATCATTATTTATCCAGCACATTTAAAGCCCTTGTATCATTTTTTTAAATACAAAAATAAGAATTATCTAGTGATGCACGATATTTAAATTTCTGGCTGATACTGATATTAAGATTTCTGATATTGCCGATAACCGATAACACCAATGTTGATATTCAATCTTTGTTCACACCAAAAATGAGTACAAGTAAGCACTGTGAGAACATGAAAACTATTCAAAAGAAACCCATACCAAGTTAGACCATGTAGTCTTCTTGATTATGAAGCAAAAGTAAAACATTTTAATATATTTAACGTTCAAGTCCAGGACTATTTATGTAAAAACAGCTGTGAATTAGCAGCAATATCAAATGTAGAGACGAAGGCACTAATGTGAGACAAGCATCAGTTTTTCACATCAGCTAAATTTGTTCATCGGACCGATACCGATATATCGAAAAAAAAACTAATATCAATCGATACTGATGTGGTCGGCGATATATCACTAGAATTAACCTAACAACATTAAAAATTGAGGTTAAGACCCGACAGTGTTATTTTTTTCATTGAGTAATTTAAAAATAATAATAATCTAAATCCTACAAAAAATATGTATAAAATGCAAATTATCTGGTTATGATAAACATCCATCCATCCATCCATCCATTATCTATACACCGCTTAATCCTCATTAGGGTCGAGGGGGCGCTGGAATCTATCCCAGCCGACTTAGGGCGAAGGCAGAGGACACCCTGGACATGTCGCCAGTCTATCACAGGGCTACACTTAGAGACAGACAACCAAGCACACCCACATTCACACCTACAGACAATTTAGAATCACCAATTAACCTCAACATGATTTTGTACAAAATATACACGATATGGATAAATATATTGGTTTGCTTGTATATTATTTTCGTGTAATTTTATTTTATCGTTTCCTTGGTTATATTAGCAACAGTGCAGAGGAACGACTAACCAGGTTCAGGGAGGGTGGATGTCTGTCTCGACCAGACAGGGTGGGGATGACAGGAAGACAGAACAGGATAGCAGAGACAAACACACAACAAGACCAGTGGATGGCACTCAAGTCCCATCTAATATATGAAGTTGTATATATATATTTTTGATCAATTATGGATGCTGCATATTGCCAATCTCAGAACATACATGCTGCTCCAGAACCAGAGAGTTACAGCAAGAGAGGACAGAAAGAAACTATAGCAGGGAGACAACAAGTTAGTATCATGCAAAGGCAAATGAAACTACATGGGGGGGAAAGAAAACAAGGGGGGGGAAAGGTGAGCATTTAATTTTGATTTGAAACTGTAGTGTTTGGGACCTGATTCAGTGTTCAGATTGTTCCAGAGCCTGAATGAAAAAAAGTTCTGTATCAGGGACTGAGAGGAGTAACTGTGATGATGACCTAAGAGGCCTAAACATTAGGAGCTTTACATACAAATAGCATTTTTTAAAATTAAATTCTATATTTTCTCAATTTTCTCAAGAGCAAATGGACCAGAACTTGAGCGATGTGTTGTCTTGTCTTTGTACAGTTAAAATCTGGGAGCTCCATTCTTTAGCTTCACTTTAGCTTCAACTTTAGGTAAGGCTGAATCACGAAGGTTTAAATCAGGAATTATCTCAGTAAGAACTCAGACTGCTGCCACTGAAAACAACAAGCCACCACAGAAGTAGCACAGTAATACAGTTGAAACCAGAAGCTTACATACACTGTATAAAAAGACGTATAACCTTTTTGTTTCACTATCTGACATTAAATCAGATTAAACGTTTCCTGTTTTAGGTCAGTTAGGATTACCAAAACTATTTCTGTTTCCTAAATGCCAGAATAATGAAAGAGAGAATTTTTCTCTACTTTCTTTAAAGTCAGAAGTTTACATACACTAAGATTACTATACCTTCAAACTATTTGTGAAGGCCTAGATCATGATGTCATGGCTCTGGAAGCTTTTGATTTGTGAGTTTGTGGAAGGAAACCCAAAACTTTTGACCCAAGTCATACAGTTTAAAGGCAATGCTACCAAATACCATGGAAATGTATGTAAACTTCTGACTTCGAAAAAAGTTGTAAACATTCTCTCTCCTTCAATATTCTAGCATGTAGCAAATAGAAATAATTTTGTAAAAATTCTGTAAAAATACAGATTTTTGACATGGACATTACTAACAGTTTTGTCCGTGTTTTCTTTCTTTTTTCTTTTTTCTTTTTGGTCATTTATCACAGAAAATCTGTAAAATAACAGTTCAAGAGGATTTCTCATTTTCAATCCGTAAAGACCGTCAGTAAAAATACAGATTTTTAATGTGGACTTTTTAATTT